CATCGATATATGGCACTCTTCACACTTTCATCCGAAAGTGTTTGAATCCGAAGTGCTGGGATGAACGGTGTTCAACTCTCCGGTATCCATATTTTCCGCCATCTTGAAACTGAAGGCGGGCTTTTGAGTTTCGTTACTAAAACTACAATTTTTTACTCAAGGTGACTAAGTACGAAGTTCTTGATGTCCACAAGAGCTTCCTGACACACTAATAGTTCGGTGGCTGTGTTGATGGGTGGTAACAATGTATTTCCACCGCAAAAACAATGATATTTTGGCAAGCCCAAATTTCAACCGTGAATCAATCTCGTGGTTAAAAATGGAAGTATGCAAATCAGATGACAGGGGAAGGACGCCCCCTACGGGAGCTATCCACTGTTATTTCGATTTTATTTAACCAGTATATATGATAATTGGCAATTATCCCATTTGTTTATGAAATTTAAATTTCATTAACCAAAGGGGTTAGTATGCAATACTCTGTAATAAACTTAGCAGGTATCAACTACCTTAACAGGACGAAAAACAAGATGAAATCCAAGATGGTTAACTGATTTGCTTTTCTCTCACTATGTTCTCATATAAGTCTAGATTTGTTCGATTTACTCAATTTTTCAAAAGTAAATAGAATGATCAAATTTTCTTATATAACAAACCTGTAAAACTGTAAAACAAAGTGTAATAAAGAAGACCAAAGGCCTATGTCCCATGGAACACTTGGTAGCCATGATATAAAACTGTTCAGCAGCTGCCATTCTAACAGGCCTGCAAAAAAAAAAAAAAAAATATATATATATATATATATATATATATAATATGAGTTATCATTAAGTAACTACATGGCAAATTTTTCAGACATACAGTTAACTCAGTGGCTTAGATGTTTTGCAGAGATCAATTACATTATTGATCAGAGGTGATAATCTGTCATTTTACAGAGTAAGCCATACTTACCACCTTACACCCAATTGATAGAGATACTGATTGAAACTTATGTGTCAACCTTTGTTCATCTATTTGTAATACGAATGGTTAATTGCAGGCGTGTTACACAAGTTACACACACTACATATGAGAGTTTGAATATTTAAAGTAACACAATTATGAAATGAATTAATTAGTCATTAACAAGACATGAAATGTCACAGTCCCCGTTATTTGATTATAAAGTAGTACAAGGAATATCTGCAAACAGGTGAATAAATACATGTATGTACTCTTTGTGGGTACAACTCATCATAAAGTGATTTCCCATAATCTATTTTTGCACTGACAACTAAAAACTTCAAGAATCTCAGAGTACACAAGTGCAACAAAACTATTTGTCATACATGTATACTTGCTCAAAAAAATGCATTCATAAATCTGAGTGAATCTTGATGTACATGACTTCTTTGTTAATCAGGTCTGAGTGTATTACCAGGACCTGGGTTTGTTTCAACATCACCACTGGGCATCAGAATCATTCTCATGTTGTCAAATACAATTTTTTATTAACACAGTAAGGTTTATTATTTAAAATGTATTGTACATAGAACAACATCTGTTAATTTAAACAATTGTAAAAGCTATGTTTTCAGAGCAAGTACATGTAATAAATTAAGAAAGCCAGTAAAGGTTGGTCTGCTCATAACCTTCAATGAAAAAGTAACAATAATTGTTTGAAGTTTTTTTAGTGCAGTGATATTATTGCATTTCAATCATTATTAATGGGTATAAAATACTGTAAACCATTTAATTTTCACTTCTAGATATATTCAGGATTTTATGAAATTTGTGTACAACATTTCAATAAAGTCCCTGACACTCCATGTTGTAGGAACCCAGAAATCAAAGAAAGTTTAGAACGAACTCCCGTGTGCTGAGAGTATTGAAGACACATTACAAATTAATTCAAAATTACTTACACCGGAGATATTGATGGAAAAGCTGAAAACTAATTATGTAAATCAGGTAACTAATATGAACAGAACAGAACAAAAAAATTATGAATTATTTAGCTAATTAGAGAATTAATATGAACAAATTTTAACCCAAAATTAATCAGTCCATTGTCCTAGAGCATTTATGTACCAAATTTTATTCAAATGTGATGATCAGTAATTGAGATATCAGTGTAAATTAATTATGTTAATTAAGTGATTAATAAGCATAAATATTTACCAAAAACTGATTGGGTCTCTGCATAGTTCTAGATTCATTGAAATGTGATGATGAGTACTCTTTAAAAGTTTCATTAAAATCCAATTCGTGGTTCTTTATATATCAGTGGAACATGCAAATTAGGTAATTAATATCCACAATTATTTACCCTAAAAAAACTAATCAGGAATGCATATTTCTAGAAGATCTATGTAGCAAGTTTCATTGAGATATGATGATTAGTACTTGAGATATCAGGCAAAAAGGTGAAAATTAACTAACTATGCTAATTAGGTAATTAATATGCACAAATATTTACCCAAAAACTAATCAGGGGTCTGCACAGTCCTTAAGTAACTATGTACCATGTTTCATTGAAATGTGATTACTACTTGAAATATCAAAAGGTGAAAAATAATTAATTATGCAAATTAGGTAATTAATATGTACAGATATTACCCTAAAAACAATCAGGTTTGTGCAGTGTTCTATGACATCTATGTACAAAGTTTTATTTAAATGTGATTAGTACTTGAGATATCAGTGGAAAAGCCAAACATTGATTAATCATTATGCAAATTAGGTAATTAATATTGCAGATTTTTACCCAAAACTAATCAAATCTCCGCATTAGTTTGGAGCACCTATGTGCCAAGTTTCATCAAAATCCAATGAGTGGTTATTTAGATATTAGTGGAACAGTCATGGAACAGCTAAAAATCAGCTAATTATTACGCAAATTAGGTAATTAATATGCATGGATTTTTACCAAAACCTAATCAAATCAGCGCATTGGCCTAGAGCATCTATGCACCAAGTTTCATCAATAAGCAATGTATGGTTCTTGAGATATCAGTAGAACAGACTAACACGCATACACATACAGGTGTCCCAAGAATTGGATTAACTTTTAATATAGTTGCGATATGAACTATTATATAGGTTGCGTTTTAATTGGAGTTTAATTAAACTCAATTACAATGCAGAATTGCACTTTAATTAAACTAGAGTTGAATATCCCATGACTGAACATAGAAAATGTTTGCGAAGCTTAGGTTTAGTATTGGGGTAAGTGCAATAACAACCATTGTGTGCTTCGCACACAGGAGTAAAAAATTGCCTTGCGAAATTGAAGCAGTTCACAGCACCACTGTAAAAAAAAAAAAAAAAAAGTTTAAAATGGGTATAGTCAAAGATATGTGTATATATGGGTTCATAAGACATATGTACCAATCTGAGTGGTTCTAGAGATTAGTATCACAAAATTTTACTATCCGTGATTCAACATCAGCCCTATGTATAACGCTGTGTTGATCAGGCGAACTAATTGACAATGGCCCTACAGGTATCGGTATGAAATCACAGTAGTTTTGTATTCTTCTAGCATTTCGACCATGGAAAAATATTTGTTTTTGAGAGTGGCCTAATTATTGGAAAAAAAACAGAAACTATTTTTTTTAGTATAAATCGTAGTAACTGAAATGCAGGATTGAAAAAGAACAAGACAATACGCAAGATTGATAAACTTTCAGCGAGCACTCCTGAAATTTCAGATCATTGGTACCATGTTTTTGGATACATTCAATGACCTGATACATAAAACCACATTTTTCATTGCTCAATCACTTGACCCTGAATGGCACAAGATTGCAAGCTTCTATCATAAAATTGTTTTTTTTTTATTTGATGCAACGAAACATGCATTCACAGCAGACGGAAATTCGTTTGAGATGTTACTGGATTTTTGTATTCAGTTTTCCATTTCAACCACCATCTTCACTTAGTAAGCTGAGATCGCGCATTGGGATACTGTCTGTGCATAAATGCGCAGTGTAGTGCCACCAGAAGACCAATTGCTTGAGAATATTTTGCACCATTACGCCATTTCAAATATTATATTAATTCACAGACAACAAAATATAGATTTTCAATAACATACAGTACTCATTTCGCCCAACCTTCCGCCCGCTTCCGGATTTTGATCGATTTTTTTTCGCTCGCTTTGTTCAATTCGACTGGACAATTTCCGTTTTTTTTAACGCACAAATTCGGAAGTATCCACTCGCACGCTCGCTTCCTTGCCTGACAGCGCAACCACCCGCATTTACAGTTCATTACCTATTGTTTCATGTACAAGTGTATCATTTTTGTTTTTATGATGTTAAAAGAAGAATAAATACAATCAAAAATTTATAGAACGACTGTTGAAAAAATACGGTGAATCACATTTCCATATAAAATTAGTAATAATACATACACGTAGTAATAATGTCCACCCCATAAACAAGATCGAACCAAACATGTGTAATCAAATACAGCACTGACACAACTAATATGAAATAAAATCTATTTTTGGCGGAGAGCGAAAAATGTCTACTGTAGAGTACGATACGATTTGGGTTTAACGCGGGTCAAGTTGTAGTTATGTAAGGGACGACGTCAAAAGATCGATGTCGGATAAAAAAACTTAATTCTTTTAGTTTTTTCCCCAACCCCCCACTGAAACTTAATTGATAAATATTGATCATGGCGTCAGACTACATTGCCATTTAATACAAATTGATAATCGGACAGTAGTATGGCATAGCAGTTGGTTGTAATAATGAAGCGGAATATACGCATGCGCAAACTACTTTTCTGGGTTCTACGCATGCTCTAGGTCCATGCCCTGAAATTGACCTCATTTGACCACATATTTACACTCTGATCAAACCATTTTATCGTTTTGGATGTTTTTTTTTCATTTTCTGTTATTTTTGTCTATGATTGGATAGAAAAAACGAACTACAAATACAAATCGTTTTTGTAGGATGGAAACTTTTCGAGGTCAAAACCCCCCCACCCCCAAACTGAAGCAAATAAGTTTTTTATCTAACATCGATCTTTTGACGTCGTCCCTATATCCATGACACAATTGGAGAATATCTGCAGGAACGACCAATCGATTGTTATAGAATGACCAT